TCAGCAGACACTTTAAATCACAGTAAATAACTGTGATTATCACTAGTTTACATATTGCATATCATACATATAGAAGGTGGGGAAAATCTATTCAGCCTTCTGAGTCATGCAGAATGAGAATAAATGCAAACAACTAGGAATTATGCCACAGGTCATTACAGTGTACGCATTACATTCATGTACAAACTAAAGTGATTGATAATAGCAACACTAACACACAAGCACTGGAACGTCTTAAAACTGATTTTATCAACATGACATCCAATGCAAATATCCTTGTCTCTCGAACTGGAGTTGCCAACTCTGGGTTGTGAAATTCCTGGACATTTGGGAGTGCATTCTGAGGAGGGTGGAGTCTGTGGAGGCCAGGAACCTCAGTGGGGTATAATGCCACAGAGTTCATCTTCCAAACCTGCCATTTACTCGAGAGGAATTGATCTCTGTAGTCTGGAAATCAGTTGTAATTTTGTGAGAAGGCCCCACCTGGAGGTAGGCAACCCTACCATGGACCCCCACAAGGGCTGTAAATCACATGAGGCTGGGTTTAGTGATGTGTGCTTAATATATCTGGTCTGAAAATATTTGGAATCCAGACAGATCTTTGAGAATTGCACAAATATCAGTCTCCCAGTCCCAAATATTTCTGTTTTAAAGGACCAAATTTGGTTGTTGTTGTTTTTGTTGTTTGCTTTTGCAGGTTTCCTGGGCAAAAGAAAGAAGAAGAGATTGGATTTATGCCCCACCCTTCACTACCCTAAGGAGTCTCAGAGCGGCTTACAAAATCCTTTCCCTTCCCTTCCCCACACCCTGTGAAGTAGGTGGGGCTGAGAGCTCTGACAGAAACTGCCCTTTTTCAAGGACAGCTGTGCCAGGACTACGGCTTGCCCAAGGTCATTCAGCAGGTGCAACTGGAGAACTGGGGAATCAAACCTGGTTCTCCCAGATTAAAGTCCATGCACTTAACCACTACACCAAACTGGCTCACAAAGGAAGCAGTTCTCACAGGCAAATTGAGATCACACGCTAGGCAAAGCTTGCCAGAATGGTTCTGCTGAGATTCTCTGGTTCAACATTGGTTTTGTTGGGTTTGTCACACTGGTCTGTGGTTCTGCCAGTATTCACTGGTTTGATGGTGGTTCTGTTGGGCCTGTTGATTCTGTTTGCATTGGGAAGCTTTTGTCCAGTAGTTGCTTGCTCTTATGTGTTTGGCTATTCTTTGCCCATAGGAAACAATGGAGGATGGCTGGGGCTACTCTTTTCAGAGCTCACAAAAGTGGGCCCTTTGAACCAGTTCACTTGAACCTTGGAGGATCTTTAGTATATAGGCAGAACTAACTCCACTACAATTTTGGTGTCAAATGCTTGAAAACCCGCCAGCTCCCAAGAAAGATTCCCCATAGGATAGAATGAACCCAAATAATTTTGGAATCCTGAAAAAACACAAATCCAAACCAGTATTTGGGACCCAGAATAATTATGCTCTTCCAGGAATCTAGATTTAAAAAATACTGATTTTTTTTCTGGGACACATCCCTATTTGGATTTAACAAGGCCACAATTTTATTGAGAGAATGGCAGCATAGCTGAATGAAAATCAAGTCTGCAACACCTCTCGGTAAAGGTACAAACTGCAGACTTTGGAGACTTCCATCATGCTCTCAATAATCCACCCTCCTTTGTTTTGTAAATGTACAGCTTGATGAAGAGTTCTGGGGGACCTGAAAGCTTGCCGTCACTATATGTGCTATTTCATCCAAATAAAAAACATCACATCATTTCTGAAATAATGTAAGAACTCTGAATGTGTATAATTCTGAATCCAATGACCATGATCCTGATGTCCCCTCCTCCTGTGCTCCGAGAAGGAAAGCTTGAAAATACAGATAATAGGAAGCTGTGTATGCTTGGGCAATGAAACCCCTAAGATCATGGCTCTCGTAGGGAAGTGTACAAATTTAAATCTGTGAGGTTCAAATCCATGTTGGGTGTATTAAACAGGGTTGACATGGCCAGCTTGGGAAATTCCTGGAGATTTGGGGGTAGTGCTTGGGGGGGGTGAAGTCTGTGGAGGGCAGGCAGCTTAGTGGGGATGTGGGGCCATAGAGGGCACCCTAGGATTGCCAGCCTGAGCCAGGCATCTGGTGGGAGAGCTTATGGGGGAAGAGACCCACCTTTCTGGTATTACAATGACACTTTTGGCATGAACAGGAACTGGCATCAACACATCAGGGTGACACTTTAGCATATGCCCAGAACAAATGCTAGAATGTCACACCAATGCATTGACATCACTTCCAGTTCATGTCAGAAATGACTTTACAACACCAGGAGGGGGACACTGGCTCCCCCCCCCATTTCTCCCACCACCACCCTAGCAAGCACCAGTGGAGGCATCATACTGCCACCAGGAGGTTGCCCACCAAAGCATGAGGAGACCTGGCAAGCCCTCCGAAGCTGTCATTTCGTCCAGGAGAACTGATCTCTCTAATCTGGAGATTGGTGGTAATTCTGGGAGAACTTCAGGTCCCTTAGGACCTAAAAAGGTAAGTCAAACAGAGTAGAGGGCCAACAATTAAAACTGAATATATCTAATAGCCAAGGGTCCCCTGTGTGTGCGGATACTTATTTCTACAGATCTAGGGCACATGGAGGACAAAGAGGTTTTTCCGCACACTTGGGGCAATCCCCCGGTGTGCAGAAATATCTAAAATGTTTTTTAAAGTGTATGGGGGATTCTTAAATCCCCCCCCAAAAGTAAAACTGCATTCTGTGTGCATGCATGCTTACTGAGCCGCGGGAAAAGCAACTGTCTCTGTTGCTGCCCATGCCACCGCTAGGACTGCTGGGAAAAGCCATTGGAGCCACAAGATAACCCGTGGTGGCAATACCCATCCCAGCTGCTGCCACAGCAAGACCCGTCCATAAAGCCATTGGAGCCACAAGATAACCCGTGGTGGCAATACCCATCCCAGCTGCTGCCACAGCAAGACCTGTCCATATCGCTGCAGAGACCACTGCCGCAGGAACCGTCCCCGCCCCCGCCAGGACTGCCAGTAAACAGGAGGATGGTGGGGGGACTCCCGGGGCCACCGTTCTTCCCCCCCCCCACACACACAGGTAGAGTCCTGCACCCCATCAGTGGCCGCCATGGGCTTCTATTCAAAGGGGCAGCAGCACTGGAGGAGTGGCTAAGTTCACTGGGCATGCAAGCAGAGCACTGAGCGGCTGCTCGGTGGGCTGCCCCGCCAGCTTTTTGCCTCACATGCTTTTTCCTGATTTTTGTTTGAAGCCACAACTTTGTTAGGTGAGGGAGAGGAGGAAGCAGCACTGGCAGCAGGAGCAGCGGCACATCGGAGGAGCGACCAAAGCCAGCCAGCCACCAGCTTCCCCGACCCACATCAACCATGCCGGAGAGGGCTCGGGCGCCAGCAACTTTATGTTGTGGGTCCCCTCTTATATATTATATAAAAATACATGTATTTATTTGTAAAGAGTTTAAGAAAACCAACAGGGGCCCAATTACACCTCATATAAAAATTCCAAAATCATACACTCAAGGGCCAATGGACTTGACCTGATGCATTTTGGCCTGTTTAGGCCTTCAGAGGTCGAACACAATGAGGAACAAATTGGCTTATACCATAATACAATACAACTTCAGGTCCCACCAGGAGGTTGGCAAGCCCAGTATAAAATGAAGCTATCCTGATTTGTTCAGCTTTTGGCTTCAGTTCTCGGAGTATAACAACCCAGAAATAAGTTCCACTGAATTCAGAAGGAACATACTGAGGAGTACCCATGTTTAAGACTGCACTAAAATGGTTTGTGGTAACATCTGTAAAATGGAAATAATAATGCCCCCAAAATCATGAGAAGCTCCTTGAAAATTATAAAATGCCTTAATAATTTATTAGATGAAATGTACAGAGGAATATTCTTGCTTCATTGTAATTGGATGTACCTTATAAAGACAGGAGATATCAGATCTGGTTTTGAGTATTTCCTGCAGTCCAGTCAACGGACATTAGGAAAATGTTTTGCTTCCTATTCAAATGCTTCTGTCCGCCTGCCAAACATAATCCTCTCACCGGATGATCAGTGAGTGGTCTGCACAGCAATCCCATTCCCTTGGGAGGATGGGAAACAGTTCACTGCAGAAAGTGCTCCCTGATAGCTGTAAAGCCTTGATGCACTCTTCCCCACAAAAACAAAATATAATCATGCAAACTATAATAAATTCTGTACCTAGCACCCATGGAAGAAAGCCTGCTAAACTACAGCTGATACTATTACCAGGGCTTTTTTTAATGAAAAAGCCCAGCAGGAACTCATTAGCATAATAGGCCACACCAACAGCAGGAACTCATTAGCATATTAGGCCACACCCCTGACAGTGCAGCTAATTAGAATATTAGGCCACACTCCGTGCCTTCCCTTGGCTTGCCTGGGCACCCCACAGCTGAGGGGAGCCTGGGCAAGCCCCCCCTTGAAGGGAAGGGAGTTTAAACTGCCTTCCCTTGACTTGCCTGGATGTCCTGCGGCTGCGGGAAGCCCAGGCAAGCTGGCCCTTGGAGGGAAGGGAAGGCAGTTTAAATTGCCTTCCCTCGGCTTGCCTGGGCATCCTGCGGCTGTGGGGAGCCCGGGCAAGCTGGCTCTTGGACAGGCTGGGGAAGGCACGGGGAGGCATTTAAATGCCTCCCCGATGCTTCCAGGGCTCCCCCTGGCCCACCCGCCTCGGCATCGCCAGGGGGGGGTCGCTCACCAGGCCTCCACTCTGTAACCACGCACACAGAGGTTTTGGCCAACTCTGAAGCCAGCCGGAACTTCGTTCCTGTGCGTTCCTCCCCCAAAATAGCCCTGACTATTACGATCAGTTTGACATAGAATAGGGACACTTCAAAAATTTATTTGAAATGTGGTGTTGGAGGAGAGTTGTATGGACACCCTGGCCCACCAAAA